TCGGCTTACGGTTTCCCTTATCGTAGGCACAAACAGTACTGACTACTCCATATCAATCACGCCGCCGCCGTCCAATCCGCCGGATAAGCTCTGCCGGGTCGGCAGCGGCGCCAGCGTGATCACCGACGGTGAGAACAACGTAATCGAGGCGGAGTCGAGGAAGCTTCCGTCGTCGAGATTCAAGGGCGTCGTGCCCCAGCCCAACGGCCGGTGGGGCGCCCAAATCTACGAGAAGCACCAGCGGGTTTGGCTGGGTACTTTCAACGAGGAGGAAGAGGCTGCCAGGGCCTACGACACCGCCGCCCAGCGCTTCCGCGGCCGCGACGCCGTCACCAACTTCAAGCCGCTGTCGGATCAGAAGCACGACGACGAGGTGGAGGCCGCGTTCCTGAACTCCCACTCGAAAGCGGAGATCGTCGACATGCTCAGGAAGCACACGTACGCCGACGAGCTCGAGCAGAGCAGGCGGAACTTCGGGAAGAACGGCGGCGGCGCCGCCAGAGGCGGCGGCGCGTTCGGATTCTGCGGCGGGGCGGCGGAGAAGGCGCGTGAGCAGCTGTTCGAGAAGGCGGTGACTCCGAGCGACGTCGGGAAGCTGAACAGGCTCGTCATCCCGAAGCAGCACGCCGAGAAACACTTCCCGTTGCAGAGCGGCAGCACGTCGAAAGGGATACTGCTGAACCTGGAGGACAGAGGCGCCAAAGTATGGCGGTTCCGCTACTCCTACTGGAACAGCAGCCAGAGCTACGTCCTCACCAAAGGCTGGAGCAGATTCGTCAAGGAGAAGAATCTACGCGCCGGCGATGTTGTCAGTTTCCACCGATCTACCGGACCCGACAAGCAGCTCTACATTGATTGGAAACCCAGGAATAACGTTAACGCGCCGCTGCCCGCGGCGGCGATTGCGGTTGTTCCGGGTCAGATGGTGAGGCTATTTGGAGTAAACATATTTGAATCGCCGAGAAATAGCGGCGGCGGGAAGAGGATGGTAGAGATGGAGCTATTAGGATTACACACTAGCAAGAAACAAAGGGTTGTCAACGCATTGTGACATTTAATTAATTGTTAATTAATCTTTTTTTTTTTATAAATTAATTAATTAGTGATTAATATAATCTCTTTTGTGATTTTGTTCTTTGTTCGTGATTAATTGAAACATGTAATCAGTGTTGTAGATGAAGTTTTACTAGTAGGCATGCAATTTGCAAATTGTAGAATTTTTTGGGGTAATATTAGAGACACCCCTTAAACCAAACCTAATTAGATGTGAGGTACAACCTTAAATAAAACAATTTAATTAAATCCTTAATTGAAAATAAAATTTGAGCCACATCCTTTTATTTTTATTTAACCCAAAAATACCCTTACTATACCTAATAAAAAAATCCCTTATTCTCTTCTCTCATTTTTATATCTCTCTCTCTTGAAACCGTCGTCGCCCACTATGGCCTTATCTTTCTGGCTTTCAATTTTTCAGCCACCCCACCCATGGCTTCTTTCTCTGGTTTTTCATCAGCCCCCACCCCCTTTTCTCTCTCTATTTCTCTCTCTTCTCTCTCTTTCTCTATTTTCAGTATTGGTCCTGACTTGGTGGTACCCACTGTAGGAGGAGTTTTATCAGATCGGATTTTGATGTGGGGGCGGGGGGCGGCGATTTTTTTTGGTCATTGGTAGCGGCGGTGATTTTGTCGCTAGAGGCGGCGGCGGTTTTGGTCACTTGCGTCGGTGGTGATTTTCTTCGACGGCGACGGTGGTGATTTTCTTCGACGGCGACGGTAATTTTTTGTCGTAGTCAGATGTTGGGTTTGGAGAAGAGGAAAGCTAATTAAGATGGAAAGTGAGATATAGAGGAAGCAAATGAAAGGTTCGATGATTATGGGCAGATTTTGGAGATCCATTTTCATAGGTGGAGGTGGTGGGAGATCTAGGGTTTCATATTGGATGACTGCGAATGACTACGGGTGTCTATGGATTACTATGAGTATCTAGTATCTACGAATCGGTAGCGGCTAGGGTTCAAAATGAGAGCTAGGGTTTTAAGAGTACGTGGCTGCGGATTACTATGGTTACTATAGATGTCTATAGACGACTACGACCGTTTTCGTAAAAAAACATTCATAATTTTCAGTATTAGTATACTATAGTACACCACATTACTCGATAGTACACCATAGTATTTCTAAAACCTGTTGTACTATTTAACAAAAACGATTTTTTTTTTTTTCATAATTTACAATAAAATGTTAAAACTATGGGGAAAAAAATAAGTTGTTTGTAGTAATGTAAAAAATGCTAGAATGAAAAACGAAAATAATATGTTAGATCGAAAAATGAAGATATTGGAAGCATAATAAAAAATGATAAATGCAGTTCGAATTTTACTTAATGCTTTTGTATTTGTGAGTGGAGGGGCATTTTTGGAATAAATTTAATAAATGATGTAAAGCAAAAGTTTAGTTGAACTTGTCATTTAGTTCTAATTAGTTTTGTCACGATTCCAAAAAATGTACAGTAATTGAAAAAGAAGTAGCTGAGGAGGGACTTTAGGTGGAGAAAATTTGAGCAAAAGATTGTCGATTCGTTACTTTTCAAAGTTTTGAACTGTTATCTACAACTTTTATTATTTATTATTTTTTACAGCAATACTTTATTTGAATATGTTTTTAACTTTCATGGAATTAATATCTACATAATGTCATGCTTTGAATTACTTATCTCACTTCTCACTTTTGAAATTTTTTTATGGCCTACCAGTTGGAGCAAGTGAACTTGTATATACTCTTGATTCAAATTTGAATCGTTTGTCACACATGGTTTGTATAGTGTGGTATACATCTCTCGTATAATTTGCAAGCTAGTATATAAGAGTGTAGTTTTACTCAATGCACGTATATAATTAGATGCGGATTCTTTCATTTCAAAATAAATATAATAATAATAAATAATAGAGGGATGGCTAAATTACAATCAACCCATGATGTATATTTTCTAAATTACAAATATCTCTATTTAGTTTGTAAAATTACAATTACTAACCTAAGCTATTACACCGTCCAACAATTTTCCCCTTGCAGCTTTAACACTAACAAAATATTCTAGATTATAAGAATATTCGTTGTAGCTGTAAGGTTTTTAAATCATTAGGGAGGCAATTGTGATATTTTAGATGATATGTATAAATTTTTAAATTCCATTTGGAAATAGGATAAATTACGAAAATCCCCCCTAAATTTAGGTTAATAACAAAAATACCTCACCTATCCGTAATAAGCAAAACCCTCATCTCATTAACTGTTGATCGAGTTATTTAACAGAAAATGTGCACAATCTATTATAACTTCTGCTAAATAGGTGAGAAGTAAAAGAAAATATCTGAAATTGTGTAAAGTCTATTCCTTGGAATAGAAAAAATTCCTAAAATATCAGACCGTAAGGGGTTGGTGCAACACGGAAACAATCCTCAAGGGGTTTTTTGGTAATTACGAATATGTGGGGGTATTTTTCGTTATTTAGCTTAAATTTAGGGGATTTTTGTAATTTACCCTTTTGAAATATTGGCCCAATGGGCTAGCTCATGCCCCCAACAGACACAATCGTTATCCATTATTGGTCCAATAGGCCGTTATGTTGAGAGGCTTGTCTGTACATTTTCTTTTGTTATACAAATTCCAAAGCTACCGAAGAATATGGAACTTATAAAATTCGTACATCTTTTTTTGAAACTTAAATTTTAATTTTAATTTTTTTCACAACTTATAAATAAATCTTCATCTTTTATTATCAATAATCCTGAATATCATATAAGCTCACTCCAGCATTTTGTGGATAACAAATTTTGCTGTAACGCGCATAGGAAAATACGAGATCTTCTAAGATTCAGATCTTTGTTCATTGGTGCGTGAATGAGGGAAACACGGGATAATTCAAATCTAGTGAGATTGGAGGTCTTGGGTGAGGGCGTGGACCGAAATTAAGATCTAGGGTTCCAGTGAACAATGCTTTGTGTTTAGCTGTTGGTGCCACTACTAATGGGTTCTGGACGAGAAACGTGACATAGTAAATTGACGCGTAACAATAAGCGTAGCCTCTTCTTCATATGTTGGAATGCGTATGGATGTTCATTGCTTTTATGTTGGTTTGTTTCTTTAGTTTACAATTTTTGTTTCTTCTTGTCTTAGATAATCTGTAATGGCCTAATCTAATTTCTATAGGTAATCTCTATAATATAATAGAATTATGTATTATGTTGTGTTTGTCTTCAAGTTCAAATAGTTTCCCAACGTTTTTAAATAATATATATAATAATAAAAATAGATATTATTTATACACAAAATCACATATAAAAATTGGAGGTTGATCAGAAAAGAATCAGAGAAATCAGAAACTGTCTTGTTTTAATTGAAGAACTCTGAGGGTGACTAAATTGGGGTTTGTTGAGAGTTAATTAATTTAGGGTAAATCACAACCACCCCTGAGGTATGGTCAAATTACGAAATTCCCCCTCTTATTTGGGTAATAACAATCACTTCTAACTATAAATTTCTTACACGTCCACTCTTGCAGTTTCAAATTTAGTGGAATCTTCGGGATTATATGGAATGTTAATTATCACTTATGTACTTGTTTTACCCATTTAAACCCCAAATTTTGAAGCAAAATAATCATAATATGTGTTTTTGGCTTGTATATATCAGATTGTGGTACATCAGAAACTGTATTTTTACACAAAACGAGTACAAACTAGAGCACATTTCACGAAGTCTAGATGATTATGTTGGATTTAACAACATGAGGGTGGAGATGTAAGAAAAAATCATAGATGAAGAAGTAGATATAATTATTCAAACAAGATGGAATTTTTCGTAAATTCACCATAAGTGGTTTTAATTTACCCATTAATTTAATTAGGGTATTTTGTGTACACTAGTTATTGTATAGTCTTTTGTCTTCATCTTCTATGCCCTGTAATATATACGGATTGCATCCTGTCACCATTTATC